TCCCTGTCTCCCTGCCCCACTGGGGAAGGAGAGCCAATTCAAGCCTGTTTTGGCCACGACGGTATTTAGTGAGGGATCTCTCCCAAGCCTCATCTCAACTGATGAACCCTTCTTTAAATTTTCTCTCCTCTGTCCAGCTGTGAAGGAGAGTGAGAGAGACACTTTGGTGGATGCCTGGCACACTACAGTCCAGAAAACATCTTAAATCAAAACTTTTCATTATTGACTAAGTAGTACAGAAACGATGGCACTAGATAAGAACATATCTCACCTAACACTTCATATCATCTGTACATATAAAAACCATAGCAGACGCTGAACAAATATAATTTCAAGATGTATGTTTACCTCTGTCTTAACCCTACCTTTTATGAAGGGTACCAATGAAAGAAACTTACTATATGTCAGCATTATAATGTCCCCTGCTTAGTAATCAAATATACACAACACTGAGAATCTCATTAATTTATGCAGTGTCTGGATGTGAGGAACACTTAGGTTATTCAATAGTAGGAATATCAAAACTGATCTTCGTTTCTACTTTTTTTTTCTGATAAAACAAGAGAAAGAAAATCCCAAATTCATAAACAAAAAGACAGAGACTGGCAACTAATCTGCTCTCTAAGTCCAGGAATAGGTCCTCACTTATGGGGGACAGAATCTCTTAATAGTATTAAGCTGGGATAGTAAGAACACCTACCAACTAAGCAATAATTAAAACGTTATTATCAATATTGACAAAGAAGACATACTAGATCTGAATTCTTATGAAAATTTCGTTTCTTAAAAGGGTTATCCTGTCCTCTAGCAGCCAGATGGCTTTCAAAACGGTTATTTTCTTCTAGAAAATATATCTTTACTATGACATGGTCAGCCCTAAATATTGTTACTCCATCATAAATAACAGCAGGTTTATTTCCCATAATGTAAGTTCTCTTGAAAAAGCCACAATACCTACCATTGCTTCCTGGTTCCACAATATTTTCTGCACTGACTTCTTTCGTTGGGCTTTGAACTTGTGGTTCTGATTGGACGTTTTGATCAGGCAATTCAGTGCCTGTCTGACCATTCTGCAATCTCTGTTTCAGCAACGACACCTAAACAAAATGTTCTTTTTGTTTAAAAAATTCGATGATTCTAAGCAGATAATTTTTTTCATCTTTAAAACTACAAAGAGTTAAT